GCAAGGTGAAGGAACTTTTATCTGTATATTTAATGTTTCCTGACTATCTAATTTTCTTCTTTAATTGTATGGAGACATCTTGCTACATTTTCAAGTCTACGCATCAGCAGCAAGGAGTAGGGTCTGTCATAGCAGATGTGTGGGGAAAGGATATTTTTTCAAGACCAGCAGCCCAAAGAGACAGAAAGAGAAAGACTAAGAAAGGAAGGAATTACTTGTGGTCCTTCTTGAAAGGAATTTGGCAAAGCTAAGGAAGTTTGTCAAATAGAAATCAGGAAGGATGAGGAACAAAGATATATCCATCACTGTGTTCTTTCTAGTGCTGTTTCCTGTCTTCCTGCAAGAGCTTCATCCTTTCCCTGATGTTCCCCTTGAAAATACCCAGTAGAGTCTGGAGAGACACTGTATTACTACTCTGAAATAGAGTGGTCTGTGCAATCAATTCCATTTCAGCTGCTGAATTTAAAATAAAACCAACACAGATTGAATGGAGCTCAAATTCATTCCTTTTTTTAAACTAGAATGAAAAACAGGAAAAAATACATATGCAGTGTTATGTTGCAGTGAACTTTAAACAAAATATTTCGAAGACAAGTAAAGGGAACAAAGTGCTTGAGTTGCTAAACTGATGGCAGCAATGTCTTCTTTTCATCCAGGGTGTTTAGAAATCTCGTGAAGGAGGAGTGGGGCCCAGAATCCATTCTTTTTACTGTGCTTGAAGGAGTCTGAATTGTATCTTCAAACTTTGAAGAAAGCGTTCTACCAAAATGTCTTATATTCTGTGATTTCCCTGCAGTCCTTCTAGCTTTGAAGTTTCACTTTAATTAAAATACATGGCTGGTTTTTATAGACAGACCTGGATTTCCCAGGGCGGTCAACTGCAGGCAAGAACTGCGCTGCTGTACCCATGACAGTGAACGCATGGCCCTATTCTATGTCATTGTGTGCACAGAATGTTTTGGGAGTTCTGAACCCTGAATTATCTTATAGATGGGTCCTGAGTAAGCTACCCGAAAGGTTTAGTCTGAGTTCAGGAAAAGGAGGAAGAAAATTCAATGTGTGGATGGTTGAACGTCCCGAGTAATTTTCTGAACCGCTAAGAAAATGACTACTGCTTTGTTTTATTTCTTCAATCAATATTTAGAAAATCTGAGCTTGAGAAATAAGAGTCAAAGTAAATATAAAGAACCTTGAAGGGCTAAACCTGTGCATTTTTGACAGATAAGTTACTATACCAGAAAAGGGCAAATTAAGTTTCACCAAGCTTCTGATCTTCAAACGTACAGAGCTCTTCTGGCATTGAAATGTAGCACAGGCTTCTGGACTGTGTCATATTTACATAAATCGAAGAGGTCAGAGCATGAACTCTATCTTGCTATGGAATCAGGCATCACATCCTTGTGTCCAGAATTTACATCATGTTATACACTTAGTCTGCCTAAATAGTAGGAGAGATTTTAGCTTTAACAATCCATCTCTTTTCCCCATGTTCATCGTAAATTGATGGCCTTTGTGTTGACCTTTTAAAAGCAGAAGACATCGCATCTCTACAAAAGGTGTTGAAGTAATACCTCCTTAGGAAAAACAAAACAAAACAAAACAAACCCTGGCAGAACTGTTGCAGAACATGTGTTTAAAGGGCGTGAAATTATTTGCATGTGCACTTGTCACCTGCGAGGAACGGGTCATCCCCTGGGCTGTTCTTAGCCCTGCGGATGCTCTGGGGGAGCAGAAAGCACAGCGCTTTGGAAGATGCTGATGCAGAGTGGAAAATGGAAAAAAGAGTGGAAGTTTGTTTTCTCTCAATATGATGTTACTCCTGCTCATCTTGAGTACCTAAGAGAGACCAGGCTTCTCAAAAATGTGTAGAGGAGTGGAAAAATAGTGGGAAGAGAGATTATGAATAAGCTGCCTTTGGTCTCTTTTGAGACGCTGCTGTTTTCAAGCACTAATTCTGGCAGTTCTTTCCTCCATTTCCCTGTCTTTGAACTTGTTTAAAATGCAGCTCAACCTTCAAATGAGAAGAAAAGCAGTTGGGAGCACTTGGATTTTCATCTACCTTTCCTGCTCTTCAAACTGGCTTATCAGAAACATCAGCGAGTGTAACAGGGCAGTGGTCAGGCAGAAAGGCACCGAGGAGAATACAGACAACTTGGATACTGTTTTCTGCTCTTCCACTGGCATGCTGCATGACTTTGGGGAAAATCGGTTCTCTGTCACTGTTTTCCCCTCATATAAAACAGGAAGGAATAAATTTTACGGGGGATGTTGATTGCTTTCAAATTTTCTGATGAAAAGTGCTGCATAAGAACTAGTCAGCGTATCATTGACTGCGTGAATACTACTGAATATGTAATAATTTTTCTTCCTCTATGTCAGTTTGGGATACAGAGGAAAATTACCTGGTTTGCTCATTTTTCATTGCTTTCCCCAGCACTCAAGACCCCAGGCCACTGATATTATGCAGCAGATGCTTTTCATAGATCGGATTAAGGGTTGATGAAGTAACAGAGCCTCATGCAAGCATCCCACTGTGCTCTTGAAACTGGAATTTCATTCCTGGTAGTGATCTGTATGGCCTTGCATTTAGCTTAGAAAAATATTAATTTAAAAAAAAAAAAAAAGGAGATGTTTGGAAAGGAGGGAGGTAATATTAATACTAAATTCTCACTAACATATAGTGTTCAATATGTCACTAAAGGCCTAATGGTATTTAATGTGTGGATTCTTCTAAATAGTGGATGTGTAATTCTCCTAAGATATTTTATAAACTATAAGAGGAAGAGGTACAATTGTTCACAAATGTTTCACCGGGATTGTTTTAAGTCAGTTAAAATTGCCTTTGAGAGTAGAGTTGCACTCAAAAGAGAGAGGAGAGGTGGAAAAAAGAAACCCCAAAACAGGGTCCTGCTCAGTCTAGAGTTTCAGGCGAGAGAGGAAAAGGTCTAGTTATCCAGAGCCAGATGCATTGTTAAAAGTTCATACTATCACTTTGACATTTAGAGTAGGACTCGGTGTCTTTGTAAATTCCTCTTCGTATTACCAGTGTAGGTCTCTGAGCTCAGACCATTTCACAAACCATAACATTTTTTAGTGATTGATTGATCTGTATTATGTGTCCTAGCCATCAGAAGAATCTTGGGATGTTGCTTGTATAAACTGTAATACAATCTGATCCTGGGCATTTAGTTACAGACTTTCATAGACCTATTGGCGATACTCAATCCTTCTGGATTTGGTAATAGGGCTTATCTGGGAAAAAAGGGGGAAAAAAGAGGGAAAAAAAAAGAAAAAAAAGCGCCCCTCATTTTCTCTGTTCCCCACTTAAATAACTCAACACATCTGGCAACACTGTAGGATCATTGTCCTTTCAGTTCCTCTGCAGCTCATATTGCTAAAATATTTCTTCTGTATCTAGTTTCCTAAAGGGCAACGTGATTTTTTTTTTTTTAAGGCTGTTTTTATAGATCTTGCAAATTAACCCATATGCATTGCAGGAAAAAACATGACTTTTAATCAGCACCATTTCTAAAGTTAGCACTTGCTCTGTGCATATGAATATGTATATGAACCAGTGTTTAAAAAAAACAAAACACACAACCTTTCTGCTAGTACTCAAAACTAGCATACAAATGTGTTTTTATTATCAAATAAAGTATGCCTAAATGTTAAAATACCTTTCTGTTAGGGGTTTTATCATTTGACTTCTTGTCTTCAGTTACAAGAATGAGAAAAATTGAAATGAAATCTTTTAATTCAATAAGAACTACGTTGAATTTTAGGAAGCAAAAAGAGGAATCAGATGTAGACTTATATGCGTAGGAAATTAAATATTCAAGAAATTAAAACTTTGTGAGCAACTAAAGGGGTAGCCTTAAGGTGTGCTTATCTGAAATGCCTGCATTTAATTTTACTATAAATCTGAGTATTTTGTTCCAATTAAGACGGTTTATGTGCATGACTTTAAATTGTACAGTAGTTCCAGGGAGATCATGGACTGCTTGTTTTACATTCTGGATCAAGTTCAGATTTTTAGGTTTCGCTTGAACAAAATAAAAAGTCTGAACCCTGAAGATAATACAGATTGATAAATCTGATTTAAACATTCCCGTGTTGCAGACTTTCAGTGTATGTGGTACAGCTGAGCCTCAGGCCATGCACTAAATACATCCACAGTGCATTCCCAGGGCACCCGAATACCAAATGATCACATTTGAAAGGTTACCTTTCTATGGATTCTGACTTTTCTGTATTAGCCACGAAGATTAGAATTTTAACAGCTCCCAATGAGAGGTATTGTGAAGTATTTACTTGGCAGGAAAAAACAAAACAAAACAAAGCCCAGATGAGGTACTGTCTCATATTCATGAACTGGGATTTATTAGTTCTGTGAACGTCCTTGTGAGAATACACTCCATAGTTCATACTTTAGGGGAAAAAAAAAAAAAAAGTCTTGTTTTTCATTTATATTAGCTTAAAACTTTGACAGAAGAGTCACTGTAGTAGGGGTTTTAGCAGAGAGACAGGATCATGCTTGTGCAGAATATATCCCAGTAAATCCTGCAGTCTTTCACAACTAGCTTTCTGCAAGGAAAGTTATGACTGTTTATCTCTCTGGAAATCTGGCAGTAGCTTTGTTAGTAAATTTGGTGACAATTAAAGATGTAAGGCTTTTTCTCCTTTTCTTTTACAGGTTGTGGAACTCATTTCAAGTGCTATTGGTGACTTAGTTCAAGGTATATATTATGAAAACTCAAAATCATGTGAGGTAAGAATTTCAGTAGTTTTACGTACCCAAGAAGTTTGGTGATATTAACGTGTGACTACAGTAAATATGATGACTTTCTCATCTGTTTAAAAGGAGGAGGGAGAGGGAGGAAGAGAACTAGCTGCAGTCCTAGTGAGTTTCAGCAGTAACACCGTTATGATACCTGTGAACTCTGATGGCAGTTTCTAGAAATGCTCAAAGAGGGACTATTTTATTTCTGTGAGTGCTTAGTAAAATAATATCATGTGTCATTACCAGGAGCTCTAGATGTGTCTTACTATGGGCTTTCCAAACACTTCCAGAGGTTTCTAGTCAAGGTTCTGTTAGAGGCATTTATTACAATGTTGTCAACGTCAATACTTTCATGTTAAATCTCTCATTTCCAAGCCCAAAGATGTTTACAGAATGCTTCATCCCAAACTTATATCGGGTCCTTTCTTCTTCTGAGTGTTCACCTTTTAATGGTATAAACATGAGTGTTGTCCTGAAGCGGTAGGAGTGTAGCACTATACTCTTCTCCACCAAAAGTCACCGTGCACGCATTGCAGGAGTCAGCATGGGCAAAGACAGCAGCTGCCAGCGTTTCTCACCAAATAATCTTGTATTTCTTCAAGGACAATTATGGGTGTACTGTGTTATTGTGTGAGAAGAACTGTAATGAAAATGGGTCAAATTAGATCTAGGTATTTTTGTCTTTATTACAATATTTAAGGAAACTTGTAGAGACACTTCTTGAAATAGGCTTGCTTTGGCAGGATGTTGGTGCAAAAAAAAGAGTTCTTTCATCTGCTATGACTGTATCTTAACACATGCAAAAAATTGATAATTTAAAGTTGCCATGACCTCTGCAGGTTTTAAGATAGCAAGTTTTCACTGTATGGGAATGAAAAGCAGTATGTATATGTGAATATCTATCTTGAAATCCACTGAGGTAGATAGATTTACTTATAGTGATGTTGTTTCACATGCCTTGTTTGCCTCAGAGACCTGAGTCTTAATGTTCAGTAGGTGAAATGGCTTGAAGATTGCAGAAATGTATGAATTCATTTATATTTGTTGTGTATTTAGATTGCAGCTCTGGTTTACTACTGCCGTGTTGTAGTATGTAGCAAAATTAATACCTTAGTGGAAGCCCTGATTGCATGGGTTACCGCTACAGTAGATAACTGCACTGATGGCTCTGCACCAGCCAAACTGCAGTGGGCAAGCGGAGAGTGCCGTCAGCTAGCAGCGGCTGGGCCCTGGAGGGTGCTGCTGCACCCAGCGACTCTGCTGGTCAGTATCTGCCTCTCCTGCTCTGCAGCAGCAGCAAAGACATGTTACTAAAACTAACCTCGCTTAAGCTTATCCTTCTCATTTTGACTGAAACCAGTTAGGTAGGAAGCGATCACGCTGATGAGCTGAGCTCTTCCCTCAGAGGAAGCGAGAGCCTGCCGCTAGCAGGAAAGCGGTAATGGCACACTCGGGAGACGCCTGGGGCCGCGGGCTCACCAGGCGGCATGGCTGCGCGCAGAGGACAACAGGCACAGAGCGTCCTCTGGCACCTCTCAGGAGGGGATGGACCATGGGTGGAAGCGTGGCAGCAATGCGGTGTTGGGAACTTGGTGGTCCTTCTGCACCTGCTGTGTTTAACCCGTGGGTAAACAGACTTAGGCCTTTAGGGTTGCTCCCAAGTACTGTACTCAGGGTTATATGTTAAAATAGATGACATCTTTGAGATTTTTGCAAAGAATGTTTAAAATTTTAGTTTACGTATTCAAGCAGGTTTCTAAATACAAGTAGATCCCAGATATACCATATTTTAAAAAGCAACTACTCTTTTGTGTGTAGAAGTAAAGCACTACAAGTTCATCTCAGCAATGAAACTGCGTTTTATTTTAACCATGGCCCCTGTATAAATGAGAAATGTTGTGGACTCTTTTGGGTTCCTGCCACTGCAGAAGGTCTTAATCTTCTTTTTCTTAGTCTATCTTTTTCTGTTTATTTTCTGTTGCATTACTGAAGCACTCCACATGTGTAGATTGCAAGGGAAGTGTGAGATAAACTAAGCACAGCTGCCTGATGTTTACCCTGCCCTGGCCCAATTACAAATAGCAAAGGCTTATTTTGTTTCAGTGACTTTTTCTGTCTAAGGAGAGTTGAAAGTACAGTATACCCTTCCTAAGGGGAACCCAGTTAACTCAAAACACAATTAGTATGGTGGCATAATAGATACTGAAATTTATATGACAGTGTCTGAAGTTTAGTCTTTATAATGGGTAGTGCATGGCTTCTGATGAGACCTAGAACAACTGTGGGTTCTACTTTAATTTTTCTTTTTTATCTTGTCCTCTGAGAAATTTGGTTCCACGTCGTGTGTGAGACATATCCCTGCTGCTTCCTCGCACTATTCTGCTGAGGCAGTCCCCCATTCGTGTCCTGAACATCTCTTTAACAAAGATTGGCAAATGGACTGGGTCAGTTGTTGGTCTGTCTTATCTGTATCCTTTGTGCATCTTCCCTCCATCCCTAATTGCAATTTGACTGAAACAAAAATGTGAACTACATTTCCTAGGGGTAAGACAAATGCTTTAATCTACTCCACAAATAAATCTCAAATGTCAAACTTTATTTCTCTTAAAGAGTAGGGCATAGGGATGTTAGTAATGACATTTTCATTGCTGGAAATGTCTTAAATTTGGAAAAGCAGAAGGATATCTTCTCACCTTTTCTTTTTTTTTCCTTTTTGAGGCATGAAAACTGTACTTCACATGTTAAATGTCTTTAATGCAGTTGTTATAAAGCTCCTTAGTACCATAAAATAGACTAATTTAGCACCAAGTTGTTTTGAGCTTTGCTAGATGTCTACCTAGATGGTAGACAAAAATACAAAAATAACTGCAAAATTAACCTTTCTCCTCTGAGAACCTAAGTTCATATTTACCCAAAACAAAAAGTTTCTGTTTGCTTCGTTTGGATGACCCAGTAGGAAAATTGAAAGAATCATTTGACCTAACAAGACTGACCTTATTTACTCCTGAAGACATATAATGGATATAATTATTTGACAGCTCTCATTACCACTTCTTTGCTCTGTAAAACCACATGCCATCCTACAGCCATCACATTTTAGTACGTTCTGTTTGGTCATTCTTCATCTTGTCTGCATAGTGAGTCATTAGATCTGTGTGAAACGGGGAAAATAAAGATAATATTTAACTTCTCATCTTTATTTGAAGTGACAATCCAAACTACAAAGTGTAGGCTTCGGTTGCAAAGACAGCCTGAAGGTTAGGGCTGCCACTCATGTTCAAAGTACCAAATAGCTGCTGTGGTTTAAGACATTGCATTAGCAATATTAAGCTAATATTTTGGACTGTAAGCTGGAGCAGAAAGGGGTGATGTGATAAACCTTTGCAGCTTTGTGTGCTAAATCCCCTTTCAGCCCAAAATGCTGTGAGTGAAGGACATTCTTCCCAGTTCCGGACTGTCTTTCCTAAATCTGGGTCTAATTTGGGAGTAAAAATTTGTGCCTTAGTTGAGTGCAAAGATGAAAGTTGTCTAATCTGGCCTTCAGTCATGATCGTGGTAACTATTTTTAACAGAAAAAACATTGCACTGAGTCTCTGTTTCCTACTTTTAGGAGACTGAAGGCTTCTAAAATGTTTGCTAACTCACAGAATACTGTCGCACTTTTAGAAACCTTCTGTCTTAATATCCCAGATCATTTAACAAATATTAATGAAGAATGCTTTAACATCCCTGTCAGTTCACTGAACAGGGACAAGAGATACAGGGAAGCTCAAGGTCAAACAGCAGAATCAAGAGCAGGACCTGAGTGTGTTGGCTCTTGTGCTTTACCTGCCAGATCATTCTTGCAGTCTTAAATGGGAAACTGCTTTGTTGGGTTCCCCCCCCCCCACCTCCAGAATATCTAGCTGATGCTAAATGTGCATTACCAAAACTCATTTTTAGTGCCAGAATGGGCTGTTATGTAAGACAAGACCATTTCCAACATATTCCATTGATGGCTGGAAGAGCTGTTAGGTATTTTTGAAATTTTTTGATGCAATTATGTGAAAATTGTACATAACTAATATGTAAAACAAATTTAAAAAAGAAATACATTAGTGGCAAGTACTCACTGTACCAAATAGTGAATTAACAGGTCTTTGTTTTAGACCAATGTAGGGTTTTTTTAATGAAAATAAGTTTATTTTCCGGCAAAGCACAGACTGCATGCAGTGAGTTGTACCAATTCTTCTTTGATGTTTGGTCACCAGTCCTGCTTTGAGGAATAATGTTTTGGGATACTGCATGTGTCCATCAACTGGACTGCTGTGAGTCTCTGTTAAAAGTAAAGGATTTGCTCATAAATTTTACCATAGGAGGTAAATCAAATGTATTTTGAGTCATGTAAACCACCTTTTAGCAGGGCAGCAGTCAGAGTCAGAGCTTTCACTTTTTTTTTTTAAACGTTTCTGTTGCAAGACAAAAGGGAAGGATAAAATATGGAATTTGAGTAACGAGCAGCTGTGAAAAGAATGGGTAAATGTGTCAGAGGGGAAAAAAATAAAGCATAGCTAGAAAGAAGGCCAATGCTATTTGTTTACTGCTTTTGTTCTTTTAAATTTTAAGCTTTTCCAGACATTTAAAAGTAACAGATGTGGAGAGATGTTTAAATTTATTATAAGTTTTCAAACTTTTTTTTTAAATCGTGTGTTGCTTTTTTTACAGTGTCACGATAAAAGTATTAGGTAGTCAGTGGCATGCTTTATTGACCCATTTGCAGACACCCTTGTTCCTCCAAAAGCAGTGAAGATGTGTGTTAATAGACCAATAAAACATGCCCTGTCATGTTCAGCAAGCAGGAATACATCTGTTGAAAGCTTATGTGAACCATGTGCAAGATGTTTTGCAGGGTCTTGCTACTGGTAGAGAGATTCATAGTTGCACATGATTTTATTTATGTAAAATAGAAGTTCTTGAACTACCTAATTTAAAACTTTAAAATGCTATTTAAAAATATTTCTTTGTGTTTCTGTGGATTATTTGCCCATTGAGAACTGAACTAAAGCTTGATACAAGTGGTTCAGACATTTCAATTATTTTGTGCAACAGCAGATGGCTAAGAAAGAGCTTGCCATGGTATGGAAATAAAATAAAGCTCCCTTACAAACCATAGCTGAAGTTTTACATTGAAAAGTCTCTGACTTCTCCTTCCTCCTTTTGCAAGTGGTTTTGTGCACTTTGAAGACAGAGTTTTCATTCATATTTTCCTTCATATGTTTTCAGCTGAACTGCGTATAAGCGTCGTCTTTGATGTGACAAATCAAACTGAGTTATTGTCAGTGCCACTTTTGTACTGGGGATCCTTGTTACCATCACTAAGAGCTGCCCTTCCTGATGGTTATGATTGCATATTTTGCCCTGCAATTTCATTTTCTAAAGTTTTTTGTTTCCTGTTGCCTGAGATGATTGTTTCAAACCCAATTTAAATTATGGAAGTCACTTAACAAAAAAATCTCAACTAGCCAATTTCTTTCTAATAAAATAGTACTTGACCTTGTCATTAGTAAAATGGGAGCACCCTCAGCTGTTCCTAATTTCCCAGAGGAAATGATGATCAGCAGAGCTGGATTCGGGTATTTTCCCTGTACTCCCATGCCGACATTATCCAAACTGTGTCTGGAGTTGGCTGCTTTCTTCCAGGGATGGTGAGGGGTTCAGCTCTCTTCATCCAGCTTCTGCTATCCAGACAGCATCAGGGTTGGTTGTGAGCTGGACCCATTTTTTGGTGACAGAACTTGTGAATAAGGTCACTCGTAGGCATTAGTTAATCAAATGTCCGAGCACTGTCAACTAAAGCTAGAATTAATTTGAGTTTAAGAAGGCTTTTATGTGAAAGGCTGCTAGGAGTCTTCTGGGTCAGCTAATGTCCACTTTTATATTTATCCTTTGAAATACCCACTGCTAACAAAACAAAACAAAGCTTACAAAAAAGTGAAAATTTCTCTAAAAATAATAAATGCTGTCATGATGTCAGATTTCACAGACTTTGCAATCTAGAACTAGTTTCATTTTTCCCTTGATGTTTTAAAATAGTGTTTAGATCTTGTCATACGTACCCTTGTTGTAAGAATGCAGCGTGGTTGGTGGGCAGTTCATATATAACATGAAAGTTAAGCTTGGGAAAAAATGGCATTTGGATTGTTGGAAAACTTTGCTGAAGAAAGGTTGTGTCTGCCTCCGGTTTCTTAAGCAGCAGAAGCTTTAGGGGTATGAGGTCATAAGACGTTCTGTGATTAAAATCAGCTATATTTTGGCTTGCAAGCTCATATGCTGAAGCACATCCATATGGGCATAATGCCTTTTTACAACTGGCTTCTTTCTGTAACCCAGAGATTCACAATACCTATGTTTTTAAGATTTCAATACCATATCTTCAAATATGTCTCAAATTTTCATCTTTTTTTTTTTTAAGTTAGATGTCCATTTTAGATGCTTGAAGCTCCTACACGATGTTCCTGTAGTGGACAGTAACTTGTTGTGCCATTATTTTCAATGCTGTGATGAAATTCAAACTTGTTTAAGAATAATATATTTTTGTAACAAGTTATAGAATTAATTTCCTTGTATACGTCAAGTTCAATGGCTGG